AGAGTTCCATGCATTGACCCCAACAGGACTCCACTTGGCACCTTCCCGTTTAAACTTCACCATTCTTACAAGTGCTTTTTAAAACCATCTTCTTACCCAGTCTACCCTCGATACTTGTGGCTTTTAATTTGAATAGGATATTTCCTGCAGAGCTTTATTAAAAGCCCTTTGAAATTCCAACTAGATTATATTATAGTGAGATCCACAATCTCCTTCATCTGTAACATCCTTCAACAAATTAAAGTGGTTTGCCAAGCAGGAATTTGCTGACTATTACTTATGAAGCTATATCTCTACAGATAAGTTCCTCAGGCCTTAGTCATTCACTTCATGGATGTATTTTAGGACAATATTGTGCACAAATTGGTTGTCTACAAAAACACTTCACCACACTTTACAGTGAATCCTGTGCAACCCTTCAAGACATTTCTACAACTTACTAAGCTATATTAAATGTAAGTTTTATTATTGTAGTTTCACTCATTTAAACAAATTCCTTTATTCCCCCAGAGTTCTGTCCATTAATTTTTCTTTATACACTATCTTTTTTTATTATTTATTCTTTCATTTTCCTGGTCTGCAATCCTGAAGAATGTTAATTCAGTTTTCATTTATTTCCCATATATATATATACAGCATTAAATATTCAACATCATAACTTTAAAAGTTTTCATTATTCGCTTCAGCTGGGTTGATCTTCATTAATATTTCCCAGTTAAAAATATAAGGATTATTAAATGTGTTCACACCTCATTGCTCTGAATTTTACGGAACGGAAGTAATGTATCTCTGCCATATACCTCCTGGTACTGACTGCCAGATAATCTAATATAATCATATCATGGTCACTCGTCTCCAAAAGCTCCATGACAATATCTTGACCACTCATAATAACTACCCTAGTTGTTGATCTTTCAAAGAGCCATCACAGACATAAAGAGCTAGACAGCCTTTGTACTGTGCTGTAATTTTCTATGATTCTAAAACACATTGGATTAAAAATAAATCACACTCAGTAGTTCTGATTCTTTTGGACCCTCCATATTTCCAGTTTGGATCGAGTTGATTGAAGTCAGTTATTGTTGCCACATTTTTGCCTGGGCATATTCATCACAAAAACAGCATTGTATTCCTATTCTGCCCAGAGAGAAGGGGAGGGGGAGCCCCCACTTCTCCCCTATATTAGGGGTCTGTAGCAGACCCTTATTATCAGCCCTATACCCATCCTACTTAATAACTCAAACTCTGTTTTGCTTTAAGTCTTCTCCGAAATATCAAATCGGCTTAATTTCCAGATTCCCCTGAACATGAAGTCCTGTATCTTAGTGGTTAGAGCACTCGCCTTGCAAGCGAGAGGACCAGGGTTCGATTCCTGGGCAGGGCGAAATGTTGGGCAAATTTCCTTACTCCGCGTGCCACTGTTTACCTAGAAGTAAGGTGGAACCCGGTTGTTAGTCGATTGGCAGAATGCTTTTTCCAGAGGTAATAATCCCTTCAAAAAAAAATGTATTAGTAATAATTTAGTCACTCAATCCACAGTGAGTGTGGGACAATGGTGTGTACAATTGGCTGCTGGGTTTCGCCCACAAAATTTACAGTCAATTCACTTCGCAGTATATTCTATGAAGCGCTTTGAGACGTCTTGAAGACGTAATAATATGAAAGAGAAGAAGACACAATATGAAATGCAAGGTTTATTATAACATAAACTGCTTCTCCTCCACTCCTGTTTTTTCTATCCTTCCTGAACATCCTGTTCCTTGCAAATTGAATTCACTGCCATCTTCTGGAGTATGGAATTTTTCTTTAAATCTTATACCATGACACAGTTTCCTGCTGGTTATGTCTATAATTCAAGCATTTTGTTTCTAATGCTTTTAGCATTATGGTGAGCGCACTTAATTGTATCATTTACTTTTTTAAAGACCAATTAGCCTTTTTGCGTCTATTTACTTTCTACATTACCTTAGTCTCGTATTTCTCTTCATTACCTCCAAGCTAATCTTGCCTGTGACCCCCTTCAAATTGTTTCTGGTTTAAATGTTTTGTAGTTCCACTACATCAATCACCAGCCTTTTTATCTTGATGCACTTTGATGTGGCCCATCTTTCCTGTATCAACCTGGCTTACTCCCAAAACAGTCCCAGTTACTTACCAAGACAACACCATTGGTCAAAACTAACTGGTGAGCCTCTCATTTGCCACTAGAATTCTATTTGTCGAGCTAAAGATGAGTAGATGTGCTTTAAAGCTAAAGATTTCAAACAGAAGCTATTGTTTAACTTTACGTGTGGTCATTGGCTTAAATTATAAAATGGAACCTTATGTTGTCCCGCCTTCGCAAAGCAATTCACTGGATTTTACGGCGAAATGTAGTGACCATGTATTTGTAGACAAACATTGTAGCCAATTTGCGCACAGCATTGCACCCCCCCCCCCCCCCCCCCATCCCATGAAATCAGTGATCAATTTTATTTGGCAGATTAGTGACACATAAATAGTCGTAGTTTGAATGACCAAAGTTTATTTTTTGCGACGGGATTATTACTCAAGACCCATCTCAAGCCCCTCCTCTTCGACTGTGCTTTCGATCTCTCTGCTTCCCCCCTGCCCTCCACTCTCCCCGACCCCCAGCTCGGGTCTGAAACTGTCTGTCCAGCGCCTTGGGACGTCCTCCCAACGTGAAAGGCGCTATATAAATGTAATTTTGTTGTTGTTGTTGTACTCCCGGAAAACTATCTGCCAATTGACTAATAACTGGGTTCCTACTCACTGCGAGATAAATAGTACTCTACACTGTACATTGTACTCACTGCACTATCCACTGTGCTCCCCCCACTGTATACTGTGCTCTATACACTGTGCAGTGACCTCTATACACTGTAGACTGTGCTCTGTACAATGTACACTGTGCTCTATACACTGTACACTGTGTTCTGTACACTGTGCTCTATACACTGTACACTGTGTTCTGTACACTGTGCTCTATACACTGTACACTGTGTTCTGTACACTGTACACTGTGCTCTATACACTGTACACTGTGCTCTATACACTGTACACTGTGCTCTGTACACTGTGCTCTATACAGTGTGCTCTGTACACTGTGCTCTATACACTGTGCTCTGTACACTGTGCTGTATACACTGTACACTGTACACTGTGCTCTATACACTGTACACTGCTGTATACACTGCGCTCGCTCTCCGCTACGATCTCTACCATTCTCCACCCGCTGTTCCTGGTGTCGTTTCCCTTAAACCGCTGCCTCCCATTGGCTGTTGCGGCTGCCGTGGATGAGACGTAGGCTGCTATTGGTTGCAGTGTCCTCTGGGTGACGTCAGATCGGGTTTTGCTTGATCCTTCGAGTCAGATTCCCGGAGACACTGAGAGAGACGGACACACACACAGAGACAGAGACACACTGACACACAGAGACACACACAGAGACACACAGAGAGACAGAGACACACTGACACACAGAGACACACACAGAGACACAGAGAGACAGAGACACACTGACACACAGAGACACACACAGAGAGACAGAGACACACTGACACACAGAGACACACACAGAGAGACAGAGACACACTAACACACAGAGAGACAGAGACACACTGACACACAGAGACACACACAGAGAGACAGAGACACACTGACACACAGAGACACACACAGAGAGACAGAGACACACTGACACACAGAGAGACAGAGACACACTGACACACACACTGAGAGAGACAGATAGACACAGACACACACTGAGGGACACAGACACACACACTGAGAGACACTGAGAGGCAGACACACACAGTGAGAGACAGATAGACACAGAGAGAGACACAGAGACACTGAGAGAGGACAGATAGCGTGACAGATACAGAGAGACAGATAGAGAGACAGATAGAGAGACAGATAGAGAGACAGATACAGAGAGACAGATAGAGAGTGACAGATACAGAGAGACAGACAGAGAGACAGATAGAGAGACAGATAGAGAGACAGATACAGAGAGACAGATAGAGAGACAGAGAGAGACAGATAGAGAGACAGATACAGAGAGACAGATAGAGAGACAGATAGAGAGAGACAGATAGAGAGTGACAGATACAGAGAGACACACAGAGAGACAGATACAGAGAGACAGATAGAGAGACAGAGAGAGACAGATAGGGAGACAAATAGAGACAGATAGGGAGACAGACACAGAGACGCACAGAGAGACAGGCACTGAGAGAGAGAGGACAGATAAAGAGACACAGAGAGAGGACAGATAGAGAGACGCAGAGACATAGAGAGAGAGGACAGACACAGAGAGACATAGAGACAGAGGACAGACACAGATAGAGAGACAGACACAGAGAAAGAGAGAGAGGACAGACACAGAGAGAGACAGACACAGAGAGACATAGAGAGAGAGGACAGACACAGAGAGACATAGAGACAGAGGACAGACACAGATAGAGAGACAGACACAGAGAAAGAGAGAGAGGACAGACACAGAGAGAGACAGACACAGAGAGACATAGAGAGAGAGGACAGACACAGAGAGAGAGACAGACAGACACAGAGACACATAGAGACAGAGGACAGACACAGAGAAATTCCGAGGACAGTCATCGAAAGACACAGTTTGGAGAGACACCGAGAGAGGGAGAGAGAGAGAGAGAGAGACTGGAGAGGGAGAACGGCAATATATACATATATATATATACACTGATATACACCGAGAGAGAGAGAGAGAGAGAACACACAAGAGAGACAACATCGAGCTCAGAGCGAGTGTGCAGTGAGTGTGTTTCCTGGTACACTGTGTGTGTGTGTGTGTGTGGTGGAGGGACACCGACACTGTACAGGTGGGGGTGGTGGGGGGACACCGACACTGCACAGGTGGTGGTGGTGGGGGGACACCGACACTGCACAGGTGGTGGTGGTGGGGGGACACCGACACTGTACAGGTAGTGGTGGTGGGGGGACACCGACACTGTACAGGTAGTGGTGGTGGGGGGACACCGACACTGTACAGGTAGTGGTGGGGGGACACCGACACTGTACAGGTGGGGGTCGGGGGTCCAGACACTTAACAGTCAGCGAAGTGCACAGACAACGCCGCCCCGGGAGGGAGTCCGTGTGAACTCCGGCACATGAGCCACGGCGAGAGCGGGCAGCCCGGGCCCTGAGCCGCGGGGGGGGGCGAGGAGGAGCCCACTGCCCCGCACTGACTGACCCGAGTGCCGCCCGGCCGGGCCCGCGGGGGCGAGGCGGGGGGGAGGCCAGGCGCCGCCGCCGCCATGCTCTGCTTTGTGACCAGGCCCGACTCGGTGGTGATGGAGGTGGAGGTGGACCCGAAGGCGAATGGAGCCGATTGTCTGAGCCAGGTACTGGGGGGGGGGGGGGGGCGGGGGGGACTGGGGGGGGGAGACTGGGGGGGGAGAGGGGCCGGTTGGGGGGGAGAGAGACGGGGGGGGGGGGGGGGGGGTGGTGTTAGAGACCCGGGTGGGGGGGTGAGAGACCGGGTGGGGGGGGGGGGGAGGGGGGGAGAAAGACCCGGGGGGGGAGGGGGGAGTTACCCGGGTGGGGGGGGAGAGACCCGGGGGGGGGGGGGGGGGGGGAGAGAGACCCGGGTGGGGGGTGAGGGTGAGAGAGACCCGGTGGGGGAGGGGGGGGGAGAGACCCGGGTGGGGGTGTTAGAGACCCGGGGGGGGGGGGGGGGTGTTAGAGACCCGGGGTGGGGGGGTGAGAGACCGGGTGGGGGGGGGGGGGGGAGGGTGAGAAAGACCCGGTGGGGGGGGGGGAGAGAGACCCGGGAGGGGGGTGAGGGTGAGAGAGACCCGGTGGGGGGAGGGGGGGGAGAGACCCGGTTGGGGGGAGACAGACCCGGGGGGCTGAGAGTGACCCGGGGGGCGGGCGGGCGGGAGTGAGACACGGTGGGAGGGGGGAGACCCGGGGCAGAGTGGCCGGGTGAGGGGAAGAGAGGCAGATACCCACAAGGAGAGGGAGACCCAGAGATTTTTTTAGGGGTCGGCCGGGAGTCTGACACGTGCGGAAACCCGTTGCCAAACCAAACCAAACCAAACCGAGCCGAGAATTTCATGCATCCCACCTATACACGGAAATCCCGGAGATAGACTCTGGAAGTAAGGAGAACCGGAGAGACCCACGGAGTGTAAGAGAGAGAGAGAGAGGCAATGTAGTGGAGCACTTTGAAAGATCACGTCAGCAAGGGGTAAAGGAAGGAAGAGGTGACCAAAGATGTGGTCAGCGGTAGTTTTTTCGGGGTAGATTTAAAAAAAACGGGACAGGACGGGAGATGGAGGAGTAGAGAAAGGGAATTCCGAAGGTTAGTGGGTTGCTGCTGAAAGCTCGGCCATTGATGGTGCGGATGCACCGCTCTGCGGATGTACAATAACCCCAAGTTAGCTCACTGGGAGGGCGAGCAGATGGGTAAATTGGAAGATCACAGATCTAAGGAGGTGCTCGGGCTTGAAGGGTGTGAGGAGAGAATCTGGGAAAATGGGTGAGAGGTGTAAGCAGAAGAGTGGAGTAGGAGGAGAGCGCAGAGCTAGAGAGTGCTGGGGGCTCGAAGGGATTTATTGGATTTTTTTGGTCAGCAATGTTTGACACATGAGGAAACCCATCACCATGCTTAAGAGTGTACAAACGAGACGAGAGTTCCACATATGTCTCCTAAATGTGGTACTTTCTCTGTCTGGAATTTACACTCTGTGGAGGGACATACCTTGCGCACCTAATTTTGAAGACTATTGGGTGCAGGTTGGCAAGAGTAAAGGTTTAGAGATCCTAAAATGTGTTGCAATACAGCTGGAGTTTAACCAGCTAAAATCACAGAGTTTGCTGGCAAGCTTCCTGCTGCTTATCCAGCTAAGACCACTACCCATTAGGGCTTTGGTTTGCAGGGTTAACGGGAGCTGCATGGGAAGAATCCGTGCCTTCCAGTGAGGGGCTGCTCCTCCATGTCCTGCTGATAAGCCAGGCTGACTGATGAGATGGGGACGCATCTGGCTGAGGACTACTGAAACCACCACAGACCGTTGACTCGATTCTGATATTCTGTTTGTTACCAAGCATGTCACCTTGGAGCCAGTTTAGCTGCTTACCTCCCCCTGGGACGTCCTTCCGACGTGAAAGGCGCTCTATAAATGGAATCTTGTTGTTGTAGTAGATTTATAGGAGAGAGAGTCAGGGGAAAAGGGGGGTGGGTAACATTAAATGTGACGTTTACAGGTATTATAATGTTTTCTTTGTATTCTCCCATGGCATTATTGGAAAATAGAAGGGAATTTCTCCTGGTGTCATGGCCAATAATCCCCTCAGATGAAATTGGTTATTTTCTTCACGGCTGTTTGTAGGACTATTGTGCGTAAATTGGCTGCTGCGTGCACCTACAGATACAGTCACTACAATCTATAGTAATCTTGTGAAGTGCCTTGAGACATTTTGAGGCGGTAAGGTACAACATCAAATGCAAGGATTATTATTCTCATTATTTATTATCTCTCCCTCAGGTTTGTCAAAGGCTCGGTATTATAGAAGAAGACTATTTCGGACTGCAGTACTCCGCTAACAAAGGAGAGACTCTGTGGCTCAATCTGAGGAACCGCATCTCACAGCAGATCGACGGGCTACCTCCCTATCGATTCAAACTCAGAGTCAAATTTTTTGTAGAGCCCCATCTCCTACTTCAGGAACAAACAAGGTAATGAGCTAAATTTTAATTGGAGGGAAGGGGGTAGTTGGGGTGGGGGAGTTCACTGTAATGAAGTGCAGATGATTAGGGCTAAGGATAACCCTTAAACAAACTTCTAACCTTTGTTTCTACTTTCTGCACATGCTCCAAAATCTGGAAGTGATTCAGCAGCTGTATTTTGTTGTTCAGAATGACTGACCGATAGTAACCCTGTTCCACAGTGTTATTACAGGTCACTGTGTCAGACTTGTGCTGAGTAGAAACTATCCCTCCCCCAAGACTGAGAATACTCCTGCTAGGGTCTTAGTGCCCAGGGGCGCCCTCCATCCTAGCACAGTTAATCAGTATGTATTTCCTTCCCTTGTAAGATGCAGCTGGTGCAGGAAGAATTCTGACTATTTATGCTAGCTTGTCTAATTTGTACCAACTTGCATATGAATAAAATCTCAATTTTTTTCCCCACATATGTAAAAATGATTATCAGCATTTAATTCTTGGATTTGATCAATCTGCTACTAAGAAGCTTACACCAAGAGGTATTTTATCCAATGGATAAATGGAGGAAAGGTCAGATGGCATATCTTAGAGAGTATTGATGCCTGTGATTTCCAGCAACATCTGTAAACTGAGTGGAAATTTAAAGTTGGCTTTTTACATTCTTGCCAGAAGTGCAGATTACATTTTACAAAAAGTTAATTGTTGACACATCGCAGTCTTTACATGGAGCTAAAAGCAGCCAGAAGTGAGTGGCCATATCTAAAACTCTCTTTGGATTAATGAGAATTTGCTGCATTGTTGTTTGTTTCTAAAAACCTGTAGATTGAAACAGATTGAGCTGTTGCCAGTTCACGAAACTGTTTTTCTGTTTTGATGAACTGAATTGATAGAATGTTAACCAGTTCGCTAGTGGTTAACTATCTATGCGTGGAATTCATTTTCACAAACTGACTAGTTTGATGGGAGAGTCATGAGATCTTAGTTGAGCTAATAAAGCAAATCAGCCTCTCTTGGTCTCTTGCTGGTTCTCAGTTTGTTCTCTTTAACTGACTTGGGTTCAGAAGGCTAAAGTTCCCCCTAAACTGGCTCAAACAAACATCCTCAAGTTGACTGTGGTGCTAATCCCATCTCCCCTCAAACTAGGCAGTTTGTGAAAACGCATTCCACGCATAGATAGTTAACCACTAGCGAACTGGTTAACATTCTGTCAATCCAATTCATCAATAGGTCTATTGAGTCTTTTCTCTGGAAGTGATGCTTCCAAATTTGTGCTTGTGCCAAAGACTCGTGGCTACGAGGAACTGAATGAATGAAAAGGCCTGAATCCTGAATTTATGTGCTGAAACTCCTGAATTTGCGTTGGGTTTGAACTGGGTTCTACATGTAACCTATAGTGTAATCTATAGTCTGAGACTCTGTGTGTTTATTCTTTGGCCTAGTTTGATTTCTAGTTATCCCCAAGAAACTCCTATCAAGTAATCCAGGCCTTGAAAGTGGATGTTGTGCTCATTTCAAAAACAAATTGCTGAACATGATGTTGTGTACATTGTGTCCCGCACCGTTTCAATTGTGTGAGATACTCTGACACATGGGTCAGTGTTCTGGCTACTCTTCACACTCTGAATAAAACAGCTTTCCATAGAATTAGGAGCCTTTTAAAATATCATTGAGTCTGAGACTTTGTGGCTTTGTGTGTCTGACAGTAGTTCTACATTGTGAAAGTGAGTTTAGCAATTTGTTGTTGCTTTAAACTAATTTGGATATACTGTAAGTGACCCCCCACCACCACCACCTTTCATTTCTCCACATAGGTAACTGCAACAAATTTTATTTTGTATTTGGGACTTCAGTCTCCAGTTGTTAGCAAACGTTTAGAATTTGACCAGAGTTGCTGTTTTGACAATAATTGTCGCTGAGCCTGTTAGTTGTAGCAAAGCATCTTTTTTGTAGCTGATATTTGAAAGTGCTTTACTTCCAAGTAATGCCGGCGTGTGGAATCGGCAATTCAGTTAAACGTCTGTTGCTGCTTTTCCAGACACTCAATATTTCTGTTGGCTTTAAAGTGGGCTAAATCAGCAAGCTGTTTTTCTGCTGAAGGGGGTTTTAGCTTTTTAAAACTCTCATTTCCCTTGCCTTGCATTTGATTGTTAATGCCTCCGTGCTTCAAATGGAGAATGTGTTTGTTGTAGATGGCCACAGCCCAGGGCAGTTTGTCCAACAGTTACCACTTTGTTTCTGCAGGATATTTCAGATTTTTAAATGAGATTGTAGATGAATTATACACAGGCATTATTCACGGCTTTCCGAAAAGTGCATTGCTTTCCTGTTAATATAGTCATTTGTTTACTTTATTTTATGCTGCAGCTTTTGTGTATGGTAGTTCATTTCATACTGTGTACACATTGTGGCTGCATTCCAAGTTTTGGTTGTTCTGCATTTCTTTAATTATTTTATTATAGTGGCTGGTCTGCTACCATGAATTATCTATAATTAATTTACGTGGGTAATTGTACACCAATTTTTAAACTTAATTAAAAATACAGAGGAACATTGAAGGTGGTTTTATGACGCTTGGTGCTTGGATGTAATTCTGGCTGCTGTGTTTTTAGTGCTTTATGAATTCATTGACCGCTGGTAACCTCTGACTAATAGGCATGTGGTATGTAGAATGTCTTCAAAACCACAATGCTGAAACCTGGCCAGCACAGTCAAAGGGAACCTTCACCATTGGTTGCTTCTGTTTCGAGGCAAACTTTTCTTCCCCCTTCCCACCACCACCCCGCGTAGATTGCTTTTCATTTCAGCTCAAACTTCAGGAGAAAAGGCATTGTCCCCAATAACCCTTCATATCCGTGCTCTGTTTAGTTTGGAAACTACAGATCCTAACTTTCTACTTACTTAAGAGAATAATATCGAAGCATGTAATGTTTCTTTGTTGCTACTGTTTGACAAATAGGATCCTAAATGTCATACTTTACAACTTTGGCCATTTGTTTTTACAGGAAACGGTCACAGGTTCCATTTCTTTAATTTGACACAAACTGCAGATTTAAGTTTTGGCTGTTTACTGAGAATATTTATGCAACTTAAAATGATCAATTGTATATATTACAGTTACATCTTGCATACAATTTTTATCACTCTGTTGTCCTGTTCAGAAGTCAAATTAGCAGCATACCTTGGGATATTAGCCTCATATGAACTTGAATGTAAAGGTTCAAACTTGTTGTGAGCTGTTCTGATGTTTTGCTCTGATGTAGGCATTTTTCCCCTAACTGTGACAGGCAGGAAAGGAAGTCTGTTATGCGATTTCTGCCACTGCTGTTTTTTTCCATCTGCACTAATAATGAGAAAAATGCTAGATTTATAACTTAAATTCCCGGCTCCTCCGGACACACACGGCGTGTCTTTGGTTAGTGCCTCCCTTCAAACCTATCTGAGGTGAGAAAATTTTTGTTATTGTGCCACATCTTGCTGCGTTTCCTGGAGCACAGCTTCCTCTTTTGAGCTGCCTCTACTTTTAAGTTCCAACGACCCAATTAAGACTGACTGGTCTCTCAGCTCAGTTACTATACAGTGCCCTATTCCACTGAATAGCACAAACATATTTCTGCAGGGAAATCCAGATTGTCTTTTGATGTACTACATTATTTCGTCGAATAGTTACTCTTCAAACATTTTGTTCCAGGTCGTGGCATTAAAGCTGTTCAAGTCCTTGGTGATTAAATAGCCACTATCTGATTGCTCAGAACTGTTTGCAGGAATCCTTAAATATCTAAAGGATTCTTTGAAGTAGGGTTGCAATGTTCTATTGTGTTATCTAAATTTCTTCTGGAGCTATCTACTGGAAGTACGCTAAGGTTCAATCTTGACATTTTTTTAAACTGGAAATATCAGGCAATGTGGGTGGCTGTACACTAGTTACTCAAAGTTATAACCATTCTCCAAAATTCTACACTAAAATAACCCAGTCCAAAATATTATAATGCCCTACCTATGGACTATGGCACTTAAAGCCTTTGTGTGCAGCAGACTCCAACATGACTAAATTAAATAATTTTCATATTCCATACCTTCCTAGTAGAGGGATGTTATTTGTCATAAAGATAATAACTCCTTTATAAAACATAAATAATGTTTTAAAGAATAAATTCTGTTATGGTTATCATAACTCTTTATTACTACAGAATATCCAGGCCATCACCCAGAGATCGAGGATCTGGGCGATTGACAAATGCTTTTGGATGTCCTCATGGCATGAAAGGTGCTATACGAACGTAAATTGCATTGTATAAAGAGGGGACAAAGATCCATTGAGGTCCTTCATAAAACCCGCAGTCTTGCATGCTTGTTATTTGTACATTGTAGTACAGTATTACTTTGTTTAAATGAAGCTCTGAAAATGCAGGGCTCAATTGCAAATACATGGCCTTTGTCGAGTGGCTAGACTGTTTGATTTTATTGAATTGTTTTTAAATACAACTTTTTAGCTTTATGTGATTGTTTTTATATTAGAAACACTGAACTGTGTAGAAAAACAGTTTCTGTAGACCATTGTGTAATGAAATGAATCTGTGGTTAGCAGGATAGAAAAAAACAAGTATTATTGATACTGCATTCTTAGCCAATGACTTATCCAAACCCTGAACAAGCGTGGGGAGAGACTATTTCCCAATGGCATGTGATATGTGCTGCACCCTGAAGTCTCTCTCTCTCTCTGGAGCAGCAAACTGCCACTCAGCTCCGGGCCCTGCCCTTTGCATAGGGAACTGAGTCTAGGAGAAAACAACTGTGCGTGCTTGGCTTTTAGTGTTTTCCTGTGGAAACCTAACATTTGGGGCCCCACTAGCTTTAAGCTGATGATCCATTTAAAGGGTTGCACAATAAACCTTGCTTTATCATGGCTAAATTTATACATTAACATTTTTGAAGTTACAAGACAACCAACTGGGCAGACCAACAAAATTCACAATGTGTTCTGCTTGCGAGTTGAATTGTATTTTACTGCTAATGACCTTTTTCAGTTTACACTCCTGTTTCTGTAAAAAGAAATTGAGAATTTATTTCCTAAACTGTCCAATGAAGCACAGCTGGTAGTGACAATATAAAAATAGTTTTCCACTCTGGTTCTGATCTGCTGTTTGGAGACCCTTGATCAGCATTGTTCTGTTGTATACTATGGATAAATTTCCTCCAATGCTGTTGTGCTGTGCCACTTTGCAATTTACTTCAACTGGGCAAATTCTGACGAGTTCCTCCCGGCAGCACTTTTCCTAATCCAGAATGAGTTGTGCGTGTGCTCAAGTGTGCCCTGTTCACGAACAAGCTTCACTTGCTGAGAGCTTTGGAAGAGGGAAGCAAGTGACACACATGAGCTACACTCTTACATATGATACAATTCATCAGTGTTTCATCCTGCGGTCTGGATAATGGCTCGGCAGTCCGGGAACTGACCTTGGTCTGCCAATTTCATGCTTCTGTTTCAAATTGCTTGGCATTGAAATATGCTATGTTATCAGTTGTTGATTTCTCAACTGAACAGGTTACAACTAGTTTGTTTTTTCGTTTGAACTCTTAGAAAAGGGGAATCCCATGTTTTGGTCAGATGGTTAAGAAAAATCATGCCAAATTCAAGGCACTGCGCTGACTGATCTGTCTGTGTTTAACCCGTGTGTGACTTGAAAGCGAATGTCTTTGGTGACTGCAACCGTGCAAAATTGTAAGACTGCAAAACAGCAACAACATTACATTTGTAAAGCTGTAAAGCGCCTTTCATGTCGGGAGGATGTCCCAAGGCACTGAACAGTCGGGGATCAGGACCCGAGCGTGGGGGTGCAGGGTTGGGGTGAGGGAGGGCAGAGAGGGTAGAAGGGTAGCTGAAGGCATGGTCGAACAGGAGGGTCTTCAGTGGTACTTTGGAGGAGGCAAGGGAGGAAGCAAAGCGAAGGGATTCTGGGATGGAGTTCCAAAGGGTGGGGGCAGAGTGGCTGAATGCCCGGCCGCAGGTGGAAGGGAGGGTCGGTTGGGGGACGTGGAGCAGGCCTAGTTCGATTCGTGACAGGGCGAAACATTGGGCAAGTTTCCTTACTCCACACTCCTCGATTCACTTAACAATAAATAGGAACCTGGTTATTAGTTGATTGGCAGTGTTGGGTTCAGGGCAATGAACAGAATAAGACCCACTTATTCTATTCAGCCCACTTTTAATAAAGGACCTGAGAACCGAGGAACCAAAGACACTCAGCAACTTATGTTTGAAAATTTCTTAATATGAAATGCAAAGTTTGTTAGTTCAAATATCACAATACATCAGGCAGCTCAATAGCATAGACAAATGTTTGTATCAAAGTAAGTAACAATAATTGCTTAGTCCATAAGTCATACGAATCTTTGATGGAGTAAGTTGATAGAAGTCCTGAACAGCAGGCAAAAGTCTTGCAACAGACGAAAAAGTCTCTTGCTTCAGACCCGAAACCTCTTGCTTGGGTATTTTGATCAAAAAATCAAAGTTGATGATGGACAGCTGGACTGTGCACTGTATTTCGACAGTTGTTATACGTTGTTAATTCTTCTCGTCCCAATTACCTTTCAATCAATTTCAGACATCCTGGAATTTTTGCAGTTTCCTTCTTCCTGAAATTGCTGGAGTTAACAAAAGTTGATGAAACAATGGAAACAGTCTTAAGTCTGACAGATTTTAACCCTGAAGACAACACATTTGCTTCACCACTTCGTATCTTCACATGAAAAGATTCCTCTTGTGTGGATAGCACCTGATATGCTCTGTCCGAGGCTGAACAAATTATAGTTCAACCATATCTTTGATAAGATTGCAAAATCTTTCCATTAACATGTCCTTGAAGCAATTATCTCACACCTGCTGAATTGTTATTATTAGTGTCATAGAAGAACATTTTATTCAGCTATAATCTGCAGAATTGTTATGAAGCTTGAATTGTTACAGAGAACATCTTTAACATACTTCAGCTGTGATAAACAAGTCATCTTGACATTTTTCTAGTCTACCTAAGCATTTTTAACTAAGTGAAGTAAGATAGAGCTTTCGACTACATGGTTAACATATTAACAATTTCAGTAATGAAGTGGGATCACAACAGCGGATCATTTTTCCGGAGAAATAATTCTTTAAAAAAATACTAAATTGGTCACTGAATCTACAACTGTTTGTGGGACACTGCTGTGCGCAATTGGCTGCTGGTTTCACCCACAAAATCTAGGCAATTCACTTTACAGTATATTCTGTGTAGCATCTCGAAGATGGATAAGGTGCTATACCAAATGCAAGGATTATTATTATTGTTACTCTCCCTGGTCATATGCATCCTTGCCTCATCCCAGGGAGTTTAGGCACAGGTTGGCAAAATGCAAGACTTGATGACACCAGTGTGTGTTGATGTGCTGCTGGAGTTTAATCACGGGTAAGCCAGGAACACCCTAGTCATTAAGCTGTTGGGTTTGCAAGAGACAAGTGGGAGGAACCCCAGTGACTGCTCCTCCTAAACTTGTTTTCATGTGTCTATCCAGTGATTTGCTTTCTGCAGCAAGTGCTAGAAAAGGAGCAGGTTATTGAGCAAGTTCAGTATTTCTTCTATGATATTGAAATGTACAAAATAGCATTTGTAGTATTGTAAGATTTTTCCATAATAAATATGGATACAGTATAAATTCAGTGGCTATTTTTTTCGATAATCCTTAGTTTGTAAAGTATTGGTGTAAATTTGAAAAAACAATGTTGCTCTATCTCTGACTGAAGTGCAAATGTTCAGGTGATGATTATGTGCTTGTACTGTTCGCAATCAGCAGAGCGGAAGAAAGGACCAAAGAACAAACTTAGCATGATTGTACTAGAGTCGTAACTTGATGTTCCAAATGATTGAGACCCAAGTGACATCAACACTTGCAAGCTTATGCAAAATGACTGCAGTTCACAAACTGTTTTTTGTTATTCATTAAGGATTTATCTTGAAGAGCAGAGCCCTTCTTATCTATCAGCACAGACCTTGGCAGATAAGCAACATAATTTGTTGGCTTTTCCACTGCCAATTGCTTTGCACAACTCTGTTAGAGTAACAAAGGAAACAGAGTGCTGGCAAATCTGCCAATGCAGGTCATTTTTTACATTGTGCTTATAAAATGAGTAAAACTGCTTATGCCAATTAGGCTACCAAGAAAGTGAGACAAATGTACCATCTTAACTAACAGTGCTTCTGAAATCCATTAGATTATTCGTTCTGAATGTTCCACTTGGATCCATTCTACAATTAGTGGCAATTGATGTCGCTGCATAGATTCATTATCCAAATCAGTTCCTAAATGAACCTCTTGTTCTTTAAGCCACAGTTTTGAAATCCTAATTATCTCTCCTTATGAGTAATACTGGAGGTAAAATTAAAGTGAGCATCTAGATTTTTGATATAATCAAGACTGGGGTGTTATAGCACTTCTAAAATGAATCGATGAACATGTTTCCTCAATCCTTATTGTAATATTCTGTAGTGGAAAGTGTTTCAGCCTCATAACCGGAGCATTTGTGTTGAGCAGCACAAGTGAAGTATAACTTCATTTCTGGTGTATTTTATAACTCTTATCTTGACATGCATAATGTGCAAGACTAACAGGTGCTGCTTATACTAAACCACACTAATGGGGAAACAGTTGCAGCTTCCTATATTTCTCTTTTGTGGCTTCCTTGGCAACCATTTTCTGTTCTGTCGGTTCATGAAAGGGATGAAAAGGTTTAGCTTCCTGCATCACTGTTGAGCCAACTGCTGCCCTCTCCTGAAAGAGTGGCTGACAAATGTTTACACAACAGCAAAACCATGCGTTTCTCTGGGTAGTTCACCAGAAGTCACTCAAACTGCCAAGTTCCAGCAGCCATCAGTACTGTTTTGAATCCATCACTCTTGTGTTAAATGCCTTGCGGTTGTGTTCAAAGCTGTTAAATTACCATTGATAATTCTACTACAACATCAAAATCAGTAAATGAATAGAAATGTTGTAATGATCTTGGCTGCTTCCAAATAGTAACTGAATTCTGTGCATAGAAAACAGGATGGTTTGTGTTTGGATTCCTATTTAATCCCGAGCAATGCATTGTAACAAATCTGGCCTGTTAATATTTCCATACAACTTATGAGAATCCCACATTGATGAGGTGAGGAGCACATATCTTGGTTACATTTTTAATTGCCATCTGAAGCAAACATTGTAGCACCTCTAGGGATGTGGCATTGTGAAGTATTAGATGATTACTGTCAGAGTTGAGAATGCAATGTTCTTCTCCGAAGTATTCCTAAACTTGCACCAACCTCATCGAAGTGGTTAAAACCATTAGATACTCGTCAAAACTGCTTGTGTGAAATGAGCATCAAAGCACCATTAAATTGGACTCTGGGGGTGTATTGGTCTTGAGCCAGTTTTGAATGCGAAACCGTTCTAAGCATATGCAGTTGTAGCATACAATGTGCCCTGCTATAACCTGTTCAGCATAATGCGATGTTTGGAATTGGAGTTTTTAAAAAAATGTTTTTCTTCATTTCCTCAGACGGTTGTTTTTCATGCATGTAAGGGATGATCTCCTCGGAGAGCGACAGCAGTGTTCACCAGAGCAGGCTGTTGAATTAAGTGCATTGCTAGCACAAGCTGAGTTTGGAGACTACAACCAAAACACTGCCAAGTACACTTACCAGGACCTATGCTCAAAGGATTTGGACACTACCACATTGAACAGGTAAAGGGACTGCACAAGGCTAGGTACAGTGGAACATTACTTACAAACCCAGTTATAATAAAGTTTTTGCTGTGCTGCTGGTCATTAAGTTCCATTTAGCTATCTGAAATCTTTGCATAATATCCTGAGAACTATGTTGTCAGTTTCTTCTTCAGGTTTGTAATAAAATTCCATTACACCGCTATACTTTTCTGCGAATTGTAGTCCAATAGCAGTATTTTGAGGAAAGAGGAAAATATTTGTCCTATTATTCTCTCCTCTTCGCTCCCCCCACCCCATTATAGTTTATAATCCATTGAATTTGCACATTACAACAAACCAAATTTCTTTTTTCAAATGCCTTCTGGAAAAGATGACTTTTCCTGGTAGGGAAAAATAGCTTGAACATTTCTCTGTGTTTTTTTTAACAGTATTGTTGCAAAGCACAAAGAGTTGGAAGGATCGAGTCAATGTACAGTCGAATACCAGGTTCTCCAGATTATATCAGCACTGGAACATTATGGCGTTGAGTGGCACATTGTGAAGGATGGTGATGGACAGAAAATGATGGTTGGCATTGGGCCTGATGGCATTTCTGTCTGTAAAGAAGACTTGAGTTTAATTAACAGGTAATTAGCACAGACTACTTGGATTGTTTGCCTGAACAATAATGAAATAATAATCCTTGCATTTGATATAGCGCCTTATCACATCGTTGAGACATCTCAAAGAGCTTCACAGAATATATTGCATTGGATTGACCATATTTTGTGGACGAAGAGCTAAATACAGTAAGAAAATATTGTAATGGACACTTGTATCTGTGATTGATGGCCAGGCCATACCGGAAAGTCGTGCAGTTTGTGATGAGTAAGCAAGAGTCAATGATGAACAAAACACAAAATACTGCAGATGCTGGAATCTGAAATAAAATACCAGGTCGTCAGAAGGGTCGTGGACCCGAAACGTTGACTCACTTTTCTTTCTCCATAGATGCTGCCTGACCTGCTGAGTTTTCCCAGCTCTCTCTGTTTTTGTTGAAGCAAGAGTCAATGTTTGCTCTCGCGGGTCTGAACTCCTCAACCTCCCCGGGCTCTCTCTCAGACTCTCCGAACCCATGCGCAACATAGGGTTTTGATCCCCAGCTTTTCTTTCTATTACATATGTGTTCCCTGACCAGGACTACTTTTTCCCACCTCTGTCACATTGCCTGCCTCCGTCCGTACCTCACTCCCACAGCAGTCGAATCCCTCGTCCACACCTTCGTCACTTCCCGGCTGGACTATTCTAATGTCCTTCTCGCTGGTCTCCCTAGCTCCACCATACGCAAAATAGAATTAATTCAAAACTCTGCGCCTGGATGCTCACCCACACGAAACGCCATATGCCCGTCACACCAGTCTTTGCCACTGGCTCCCAATCACCAAATTATCTATTTCAAGATCCTCTCACTCGTTTTCAAATCCCTTCATTCCCTCGCACCACCCTAACTATCTGAACTGCTTACCCCCCACTCCACCACCCGCTGCCTCTGCTTGGCTGACCGGCCTACTGTTTGTCTCTCGTCCCCTCCCTTCACCATCGGTCACCGTGCCTTCAATCACTAGGCTCCCAAGCTCTGAAACTCTCTCCCTCAATCCCCCTACCTTGCCCCCTCCCTTTCCACCTTCAAATCCTGCCTAAAGATCTTTTTGATTGTGCTTACAGTCACCTCCCCTCTCCCCGGCTCGTTGTCATACTACCCCTCGTGAAGGGAGCTGTATAAATGAACGTTGTTTGATTTTTAAAAACGATAGGAATCTTGAAGATATACTGCTTCCAAATGAACAAATTCTTCTAGGTTTTGTTTGTCAAGTAGCTATATCAGGCTGCAAAAAGCTGAGATTTCTTATTTTGAGGCTACTCTTCTCCATTCAGAATCCAAACCATATTGAGAAAGCTGCCTATGCATTTGTTTTGTTGCTTTAAGATGTAGCAGGTGAAGGAGACCATCTTTCAATTCAAATTCACTGTAGAAATTTCACTGTATTGAATGAATAATGCTGCAGTGGCAAAAACGGACTTTATACATTTTTCAAAAAAATATTATAAGAAAATTATAGTATTGTGTTAAGTTTTCATTCTCTCATACATAAAATCTACAATCCATTGAGCAGAGTATTGCTACATGGTAAAATAATTTCATTGTGTATTTATGTTTTACCTGCAGGATTTCATACCCTATCATCCAGATGGCAACCCAGTCAGGGAAAAATGTCTATCTTACCATTACCAAGGAGTCTAGTGGCAGTGTAACATTGATGTTGAAATTGATCAGCACTAGAGCAGCAAGTGCCCTTTATCGTGCGATAACAGAAACCCATGCATTTTATAGGTATGGATTTTCATAATTGCTGTTGCCTCTGCATTGATAAGTTTCCAAACTCTGTAACTATGTGCTAGATATACTCTACCGATTCCTTGGATTTCTCTTATCAAGTGGATGATGATTATCCTTGCATTGATATAGCACCTTTCATGTTGGAATGACACTGCAACGGGTTTTTACATTAAATCCCGTGTTTCACGGAATTTAATGTAAAATGAAGCTGCTGTGATTTGAAGGCAAATTTTATACCCGCTAATTTGTAGATGCTTGTGACTGATGATTTTCAACTTGTGCATTGACTGCTCTTAGTTTAGATTTTTTGATTTTCGAATGAATATAATTAATTGAAACTATACTGACTACAGTCTAGTAAAGAAGACAAGGTTATTAGTGTGTGGACAGACTGAGTTTTTAACAATTTGCTCATGTTCTCAATCGCATTCCTTAAAACCAATTTTATTGCAGTGGTAATGGAATTGTAGTCATTGATCGTAACCATTGATAAATCCTGACCTCCTTCATGCATTTTTCAGACATGTATAAAACACTGACTTCAGTTTGCATCGATTAAATGTCAGTATTCCCATTAACAAGCGCCAGATTGAAGCCAGTAATACAAACCGATTTATTTTTAAAAAANGGAAGCTGCTTTTTTCAATTGTTAAATTAAATCAGCATCTGAAAGATAACGATCCATTCTCAATAATAGCTAAAATGTATTTGCTTTAGACTAGTTACCACATGGGATTGTAAAAATCACTTTCTATATTAATTTGATTTTCAGGTGTGACACTGTTACAGATGCTGTCCTGATGCAATATAGTAGGGACTTCAAGGGACACCTTGCTTCTTTGTTCCTCAATGAAAATATCAGTCTTGGTAAGAAGTACGTCTTTGACATCAAACGCACATCCAAGGAGGTCTATGACCATACGCGACGAGCTTTATATAATGCTGGCATTGTAGACTTTGTCCCACGCAACGACCCAGACGCTCAGAACTCGCCACTTAAATCTTCAGACAATGAACTGAACTGTAACAGCTGTGAAGGGCTCAGCTGCCAGCAAAGCCAGGCACTCCAGGAGAAGTTTCGAAAGCTGAAAGAGGCATTGTTATGTATGGTGTGTTGTGGCGAGGAGATCAATACAGCCTTCTGCCCCTGTGGTCACATGGTCTGCTGTGATACCTGTGCTTCCCAACTACAGGTGAGATGGTCTTCAGAGAGCTTCATATTTGGTATAAAGTTAAATGACCCTTTTGTATTATCATTTTTTTAAAGATTTCAGTGTGGATGGATGCTGCCCAATTAATAAATCTTCTTTGCAGTTAGCTGCATTCTGTCACAGCTCACCTTTGTAGTCTGACATTTAATATAGTCTGACATTTAATGTGCAGCATTGCACAAGTTAGAATTCAGCCTTCAAGTGATGCTGGTTAAGTGTCTGATGTAGACTAATCAGCTGAAATGATTCTGAAAAATTTGCACAAAAATAGAATCAGTAAGCCCAGACAATTTACTAGGTTTCAGGATTAAGTGGGACTTATTTGGCATATAAATTTACATTATTAAAAAATGTAGTCTGATGCAAGCAATCAGTTTAAGGGTTCAATATGATCTCGTACACTATGTGTTTACTCACCTTTGCTGTGCCGACATAGGAAAACTGAGGAAATGACCAGATTTTGTATTGGCAAAGTTTTCAATATTATGCAAAAGCAAAAATACTGCAGTTTGTCTTTAAATTATCATCAGTCTGTATCTAATGCTGTTTTTATAAATATTTCAGGCTTGTCCAGTCTGTCGGTCCCTAGTGGATCACGTTCAGCATGTATTCCTGCCTACTTGTGCCAGTTTACTCAACCTGACAGTGATCTGAATGTTCAAGGGATTAATCGCTTTATAGACAGGGTGAGTCTAGAGCAAACCAGCATTACAGAAGAAAATAGGAAGTACTTCCCCTTGTTCGACCCAGTGCCGTGCATCAGCTTGTATTCAGCTATCGTCTTCCTGCTTCTTCATGGCAAATTTTGGAAGTTTGATGTGACTCTTGTGAGGCATTCAAGATGACTCCAAGGAATCTTCAGATCGATTGTATTAGACTGATTGATATTTTTTAAAAATTTCACTAAATAATCGACACATCATTTCTGAATCAGTTGACCTGATAAAATAGTACTGTAGTATTTCATTTTTCAAAACTTATTTTAGATCTTGTAATGAGTTGTTATTACTGCCAGAACAATCACTCGCCAGGAAATGGCATAGTCTTTCTCTGATCAAAAACTCCTTACATTGTTTATTCAAGTTGTTTTGATGAGTTTTTTTAAAAGAGACTTTTTAAAATATTATTCTGCTGTTTAAATTCCTAATTTCTTTAAATATGATGACTCCAAAAAACCTGCAATATTGATGTGTGGTAGAATGGTTGAGGTGTGTGTGGATATAATATCCGTTAGTTTTATTGTTCATCCTTTTTAAGCTAATAACATGGAGAAAAGCTGTTCCTTAAACCAGTTTTGTTTTAAGATGGTTCTTATTGCGTTGCCTCTGTACAGCAAAGAGTTATTCACCAAATATGCAATTCCAGGAGTTCTGCTCTTATTGTCAATGGCGCTGAAAAGCTCAAGTACAAAGGAAGGCAAAGGGCATTTTAAAACCAGGTTTTTGTGACTTTTTCCATCCTGAAATGTGGTCAATAAGTAGATTCTTTCAGATGCAAACACTTGCTCAAAGACTTGCTAGAAGACCAATTTGAGTGCAATACTGGCTGCTTAAGGCTAGGGTTAAACTACAGTGTCACTTTATTGAGGAATTTCCAAAGTGTATTGTTCATAGGGTTGCCTTAATGTAGCAGCAATGAGATACTGTCTTATGTACAGATCTTCCTTTGCACAGATGTTCAGACTTTTTAAAAAATATATCGACTCAAATCACATGTTTAGCACATGGTCTCCTGCTCAAGGGGTATCTATTTTTTCACTTTGTATTAAAAAGAGTTTCCAGTTAAAGCAAAAGTTCCATTGTGTATGCCAGATTATCTTCTGTCTTTTTATATTACTTTAAAACATGTTAATAAATTTTGTATCAATTAATGCAATGTGTTGGATTATCTCTTTATACTGTATAAATACTTCAGCGGTTGGGCTTTTAGTCTATCTGTCCCCACTGTTGGAGGTCTGACATGTGGCTCAGCTTCACACTGTGTGATGTGTTTGTCTAGTAGATTGTCTAAAATATCTAGCAAAATAATTTTTCATGTATTGCAAAAAAAATTTAATAACCATTATCTGTTTTATGTTAAATTGACTTCACCCAATTAATGTCTTTGGATATCTCAGTCTCTAAGCAACTTATGGATTTGTTTCAAATTGCAACCTGAAAAAGTCAAAGGTCTTGTTCGACAGCCTCTTAAAACAACTATAACAACTTGCGTTTACGTAGTGCCCCTCACGAAGGGTAGGGTCCCAGAGCGCTTGACATGGCGGAGCACAATGCCAGGGGGAGGTGACTAGGCACGGTCGAATATGAAGGTCTTCTGGCGTGACCTGAAAATGGGGAAGGCAGGGGGAAGGCGGAGGGATGGAGGAAAAGTGGCTGAAAACGTAGCCACCAAGTTTACCGGAGTTTTGGATCAGTTGGATCCTGTGCATGGTGGAGCTGGGGAGACTGGCATAGAGGGCATTTGAGAAGTGGAGTTGGGAGGTGACGAATGCATGGACAAGTGTTCCGGCTATGTCTGGGATACAGTACAGTCGGAGGCGGGCAATGTGGCAGAGGTGGAGGAAGGCAGTCCTGGTCAGGGACTGGATGTGGGGAAGGAAGGACAGCTGTGGGTCAAACCTGACGCCTAGGTTGCGCATTGGTTAAGTAACTGAGGGATAGGCTGGGGAGGTTAATGGAGGAGAGAGGGAGAATGTAGGATTGTTTTTGTGATGTGATTTTTATGTTTGAAAGAATGGGTGGAATGTAATTCTTTTTATATTTGCTTTTATATACTATTGCTGCTTTTATATTCTAGCTGCCATCAGAAGCACATCCATCTATACAGGTATTTAGTAACGTAAAAAGTTTTCTCGGTGAGAGAAAGAGAACCCTTTTCAAAGTAGAAATCTCTCATTGCCTCCGTATAGAATACATTTGACTCTAGAGTGAAAAGGTTGGCACAGCAGTGATGGGGACGGAATGATGTGTGGCACGTGCAAAACTGATCTTTAATAGTCGGGTGAGATCACTGCTTGAGATGTAAGCGCAATTTTCATTATCTCTGGAGCCAAATAACAGTAATAGAATCAGGTAACAACCTATGAACAAAGTCATCCCTTATTCATGAAAAAAAAACCCTCCTTGCATTTGATATAATGCCTTGCATTACCGGAGGTCATCTCAAAGCACTTCACGGGATTTATTGTAAAACGGCGCGATTATTTGTAGGTGAATGTGGCAGCCCATTTGAGAACAGCAATGTCCAACAGACAGCCACAAACGTGTGCATCTGCTGGCCTCTGGCCTTAGTTTTGCAAAAAAATAGTTTTGCACAGGTGGTGGTTGTCATTTCTCTGTGCACGGAATTGCTTCAAATGTTCATTCGCGTATAAATCGAACTAACATGACACAGGCCTCCAATGTTGAAATGTCTATGAAATGTATCACTTTGTGAAAGTGTACCCATATGTAACGCATATTCCTGCTGACCAAGCTTGATCCTGCCTTGTATCTTTCTGTGCACTTTATAGCAGGTGTCTCCAGAACCACTAGGGTGAAGACAACCATTTTGGAATTGACTTGAGTATCACTCCTCCACGCTTAAGTGTTGTACATACAAACGCAAGGATTATTATTCAACAATTGGCAGCAGAAAACATGGCCAATGTTCCCCTCTCTAATGTATTGCGGCTGAGACCAATTGAGGCATCTTGGTTGAGATTGGTTTACTCAGACTGGAATGGGAGCCTGCACTCCTGCCAATTGTCTGGTCCTGCAATTGGCAGTGTATTTGCCCACTAAGGCATCTGGAATGTTTTATCATTGACAAAATAAACTGCTAAACTGTTAATTAAATTGTCATTGTTAATTGAATGAAACTGAAGGCACTAGGGACTGGTGATTATTTTAATGATTAATTTCCATTTTCGTAATTGACTGGTGTATCACTGTTCCATGCTTCTCATTGAGAGAGAAAGAGATATGGTAAATTAGAGGTCAAAGGAAAGGAAGAAGAGAACAAACCAATGAGAAAAAAGCATCCAGACAGTGAGACATTGGTTCTGTTGTTTGCTTCAGCTGTAAACCTGATGTCGGGCAGCCTGTCTAGAATTCTTTCAGTGGGTTTGCGGTTAGCTTCAAAGGGCCTTAGAGAACATGACTCTTTGACTCTTTATTTGGTACCAAGACTTCCCGGGTGGGTGAGCAGACAGTGGCTCTGGAGAAGCCCATTGCCTTGTCAATATTAATAATAATAATAATCCTTGCCTTTGATATAGTGCCTTATCACATCTTCCAGACATCTCAAAGTGCTTTACAGAATATAATGTAAAGTGAATTGACTATATTTTGTGAGAGAATCGCAGCAGCCAATTGTGCACAGAAGTGTCCCACAATCAGTCGTGGATTGAGTGACCATATTATTATCAAATCATGTTGAAGGAGACTTCACAGGAAGGAATCGAAGAGTGGATGAGAGAAAGGAATGGAGTAAACACAAATCACGTCCTTTTTGATGGCCTGCCACTTTTAGGAAAAGAGAATATTCATAAGATTGTTAAATCCTTGACTTAACCTTTTGAAGTGCCGGAGATAATCCTCTTGTGAGCTGGCTGTAGTTTACACTCACCTAATGTTTTGTTTTGATTATTTTTTCTCTGAAACTAAGGATTTGTGAGAAGCTGCATTTTCTGCCACAGTGAAATGGTGCCAATGATTTGAAATTATAGTCTATGTGAATTGAAGAAAATGATGGTTGTTAAAGTCACACACTGCTCCAAAGCCTCACAATACACCAACAATGAGCTGCCCCATTCATACTGTATTGTCATTTATCTGCAAAATACAGTCACTATACAGTAAATCCTGAGAAGGGCTTTGAGGATGTTTTACTAATGTGAAAGGCGCTATGTCAAAGGATATGTAATATAGCCATGTGAATCACCACCAATTCAGATTCAAATGTGTGTAAAAACTGCTATAAAAAATATTATCACCTTGGAATCGAATTGGGAAAACCTTTGTGTAACGTAAACATTTGTGAAGCTCTATTTTGTTATACAAAATATCAGTGTTGCAAATAGTATCATTGTGCTACTGGAGCGAGATGCTGATATATGCAGCATATTTGTGTGGGTATTTTCACCTTCCTCTGCAAAATGGCAGTGATTTCCCCCTTTAACTATTTATTACCAATCTATTCCTCAGCATATCCTGAGTTTGCAAAGTTGCCACAGATGGGGGGAAAAAATCTAGAGAGCTTTTTGTAATAAAAGATTAGAATTAAGGAGCTTTTATTTCAGCTTCAGGAGGAAAAGGAATACATGACCATAAAAGTTTTTAACTTTCACAGTAACCACGCAATGGTGAATTTTTCGAAGCAACGCAAGGATGAAAAAGACAAAATGACTCACAACTCCACAAATGCTGTTACTGCATCAAATCCAGCAACGCATCAGTAAGACCCTCAGTAAACTCGTGCCATGCAGGGTCAGCCTGTTGGTGTCAGTCACTCTATAGCAAGAGCTACATTTAGGTCGGTCTTGTGATCTAATAACTCAACAAGAACATCAACAACAATTTTCACTTGTGTAGCACCATTCATGAAGAGGAAGCATCTCAAAGTGCTTTACAAAGCCGGAGTCTGGGATAGGGAGACAGGAGCTGGTCAAAGGCATAGTCAAAGAGATAGATCTTTAGCAGAGCAGAAGGGGGGGAGGTGGAAGGATCTCAGAAGAGAGTTCCAGAGCACAAGGCAAAGTAGCTGAAAGCTTTCGCAGCAATGAAGGAAATCAAGCGGCAAAAAACAGGCCACAATTTGCAGATTGGAGGGAGTAGGACTAGGGTTTTCAAGATTGATTGACTTTAAGATCCTCATTTTCCAATGGATTTTAGTGTCAAAATGGAAGAGAAGCTTGTGAAACCTGTTGAGTTGACTTAAGGGTCAATAACGTGCAGACATCTCTAACACTTAGACCACTGTAATACTCAAGTTACCTGTGTGTTAGTTTTATTTAGCACCAGGCTTTGGAAAGATAACAGTGTTATCACCATTTTTCATGGAAGAGAAGTAACACTGTGTGCAAAGGCATTTCTATTCCTGGAACACGGCTATTACCCTTATACAAAAGGAACTGCAGCACTCACTGGTTTTATACGTATGGTGGAGGAAGAAGGGTATGGAAACATGCCATTGAGAAGATTTTCTTTGTCAGTCCGGTGTCTGACACAAATGGAAACCCATCAGAGTTTCCAAACCAGACTGAGAGTAACGCATATGAATACCACCTATTGTAGCAACAAGAATAACTTGCTTATCGTAGATATCCATTAAGCAAGATAATGTCTTGGAACACTGTATAGGGGCTGGTTCAACATCAAGAAAGGGGAGAGGGAGGTGACCTTAGGTGCGGTCAAATAGGTAGGTCTTAAGGTGAAATTTAAAGTTATGTAAAGAGGGGGTAAGGTAGATAGATTGAGGCAGGGAGCTCTAGAGGTTAGGGGTTGAGTGGCTGAAGGCATTGCCAGCAATAGTGACAAGGAAGGGGCAGGAGACTCACATCACGTCTGAGTTAGCTGAACGAAAGGGGTGGGCAGAGGAATGTCGTAACTGGGGTAACGCAACAGTTGCCTATCTGCTAAATGCTCCAGTAAGCTGTCAGCCACACACAAGGCAAGCAAATGCAATGCAAGCAGGTTGTACAGCCAATTATTTAAAGGACACCTCAATTCTATGACTATTTGAATGAGGTGGAGCAATAGAGAGAACTCCTGCAGCATCATTGGGGGCTCATATAAGTAAATTTTTGAAGGTGGCAGGACAGGTAGATAAAGCTGTTAAAAAAAGCATATGGGATACTAGGCTTTATAAATAGGGGTATACAATAAAAAA